CTGAAATAAAAGGATTACATATAGAAAAAAATAAGTAGAAGTATCAGTTTGCTAATTACATGATCATATATGTAGAAGACTACAAAAAACACGAGAAGATATACAGAGCCAATAAACAAATTCAGTAAAATAGAAGGATTGAAGATCAAAATAAATAAGTCAATGATTTCCCTGTACCCCAACAATGATTCTGCTGAGAGAGAAATTAGGAAAATAATTACATTCACAATAGTCTCAATACAAGAAATACAATAGAAAGGAAAGGGACACTCCCAAATTTATTCTAAGAAGTGTATAACACACTTGATACCAAATCTAACCAAGGATGTGAAGTACCTCTACAATAAAAACCATGGAACAACGGGAAAAAGAAATTGTAGGTCTCAGAAGGTGGAAATACCTCCCATATTTTTGTATAGGCAGAATTAGTATTGTTAAAGTGGCGATATTACCAAAAGTGATCTATAGATTCAATGTGATTGCCATAAAAATACCAATGACATTTGGCACAGAGCTAGAAGAAACAATTCTAAAATTCATTTGGAAAAATAAAAGACCTAGAATAATCAAAGCAATACTAAGCCATAAGAGTGATGCTGGAGGCATGACAATATCAAATTTCAAATTTTACTACAGAGATAAAATAACAAAAGAGCATGGTATTGACATAAAAACAGGCATGGAGATCAGTGGAATTGGATGAAAGACACAGAAACTCACATATTAATAGTCATCTTAACCTTGACAAAGGTGCCAAAAACATACCTTGGAGAAAAGGTAGCCTTTTTAATAAACACTTCTGGAAAAACTGGCTATCCATATGTAGAATGATGAAACTAGTTATTTATATCTCACCCTGCACAAAAATCAATACAAAGTAGACCTAAGACCTAGGAATTAGACAAGAAAAAAGCAACTGCTAGAAGAAAACATAGGTCAACACTCCAACATACTGGCACAGGGACCAAATTCCTAAAGACTAAGACTCCTGAATTTCAAGAAATAAGACCTAGAATCAATAAGTGGAATGGCATCAAATTAAAAAGCTTCTGCACACTAAAGGAAATAAATGTGTGAAGACAGAGCCTACAGAATGGAAGAAAATCTTTGGCAGATACTATTTCATTGGGGAATTAATAACCTGGATATATAAAAAATTCAAAAACTTAAAGCAAAAAAAACCAATCAATAAATGTGCATATGCACTAAATAGACACTTCTCAAAAAATAAATAAATGCATGCGATCTACAAATATATGAAAACATTTTGACATCCATGAGGGAAATACAACTAAAAATAACACTAAAATTTTACCTCACTACAGTTAGAACAGCAATCATCAAGAATAAAATAATAGCTGGTGAAGATGTGGGGGAAAAAGTACACTCATGCATTTTTGGTGGGACTGCAAATTAGTACAACCACTTTGGAAAGCAATATGGAGATTCTTCAAAACACTAGGAATATCACTACTAAATGATCCAAGTATTGCACTCCTTGGTATTTATCCACAATAACTAGAATAAGCATTTATAATGATACATGCATACCAATATCAATAGCAGTGTAATTCACAATAGCCAAGTCATGGAACCAGAATAGGTACCCATAAACATAAATGTATAAAGTTGTGATATATACATACATTCAAAGGAGTTTTACTCAGCAATAAAGAAAAATAAATTATGTCATTTGCTGATAAAATGGGTGAAGCTGGAGAGGATCATGCTAAGTGAAATAAGCCAGACTTAGAATGTCAAGAATTTAATGTTTTCTCTCATCTGCTGAAGCTAGATAGACATAAGGAAAAAAATGAGGAAGGTCATGAAAATAGAAGAGAGAGCAGTGGGGTAGAGGAAAGAGATTGAAGAGGAAGGAGGAAAAATGTGAAAGGGGAGTAACTATGGAGTTAAAATGAATACATGTTATGTACATGTATGAATACATTATAATGAATGAATTCCACTTTATTTATAACTATAATGCACCAAGTATAAAAACAACAAATAAATGGAAAAATAGTAGAGCAAGTGAATGAATAAGAGAGAAGAGAAGTAGGAAAGGGGAAGTACTGGGGATTGAATTGGTGCAAGTTATGTTCTATGCATTTATGAGTAGGTCAAAATACCCACAATATTATTCATGACTATAATGAACCAATTTAAAAAAGAAGCTGCTGGGCACTGTGATGCACAACTGTAATCCTAGCGGCAGAGGAGCCTGAGAGAGGATGATCGTGAGTTCAAAGCCAGTGTCAGCAAAAGTGAGGTGCTAAGCAACTCAGTGAGACCCTGTTTCTAAATAAAATACAAAACAGAACTGGGGATGTGGCTCAGTGGTCAAGTGCTCATGAGTTCAATCCCTGCTATCCTTCAAAAAAAAAAAATATGCCCAGCTGAAATGCTTATTGAGGAGAAAGAAAACAAAGAATGGGTAGTAGAAAAAGATCATCAAAAACACCAGCTACAAACACAAGATGAGTTACATAAATGAGCATTGTAATTTTCTTTTTGCTTCTATTATCCCTTTTTCCTGTTATAGGATCAATTGATTTTATATCACAATATTATAACATTGTTTATTTTACATTTTAATATTTAAGTCATCAATTAGACATCAAAGGATATCAAGAAAAAGAGTAAATACCACCCAATAATTCCATATTCTCTTCTAGTGCATTGACTGCAGCACATATTTGTATCATGTTAGGTGGAAGTATGACCTTGGTAATTTGGAAATTAAATATGGTTTTAGGAGATGTGTATGGGTGCCAAATTGACAGGGCCTGAAGTTGTGATGGACTATTTTATGTTTCAAATTGGCTAATCCAAAGCAACCATGTTTGATCAAACATTCATTCTTCCAGATACTTTTGTGAAGGTATTTTAAAAAATGAGATTAACAGAACAGTAGACTCAGTAAATATATTTATCCTAAATAATATAAGAGGCCTCGTTCAATTAGTGAAGACATCAATGGAAATAAAAGTTCGATCTCCCCAAGAAGAAAGAGTTTTGTCTGCATGCTGCCCTTGGACTCAAACTAATTGAAATTCTTTCCTGCTAGCCTGTATGTGCATGGATGTGCCAACCCTCCACAACACATAACTCAATTCCACATGAACCAAACCCATTTGGTTTTGTTTCTCTGGGGAATCCTGATGATTACAGAAAGTTCCCCATATTTTTGTGTGATAAAAATTCTTAGGCTCATTCTACCCAAACCACAATTAATGAAGTTATTTTACTAACATATTCCTTAATCTGATACATCAGACAACTATTTTATTAGGCTTCCCAAAATGTTGAATTTCTTTAATTGTATAAGTGTACTGATTTTTAATTTGTGCTCTATTTCATTAAATTTTCCTTATATAAAGTAGAGAAACTGAAAAGGAGTTATAGATACTTATAACTATTATCTAAGAACATTCATTTATACAAGAATAATATAAGAAGAACCTGAAAAATAAGAAATACGAACAAAAATAAATATAAAAGTTTCCATTCTCATATTAAATATGAGTCCATTAATAATATCAGAAACTAAAGATAACCACATTTGAATTTTGTATTTATTACCTTTCAATTTAAATAACAAAAAACTTCTAACATGCTATTAAATTCATTCTATTCAACAAAATGCAAGAAAATACACAGTTGCCAGGCTTAAAACTTATGATAGGATCCCATTGTAATTTGGTAAATTCTGAAGCACAAACACCTGTAAAATAATCCTTTAACATTGAAAATAATTGTGTTTTCAGCCTCCTGTTTTTAAATAGATTCTGAGGTTTTAATATATTCTCTGAAATATATTTGTTGAAAAATTAGTCCCCAGGGTGGTAATATTGAGAGGTAGTTGGACATCAAAAAGGAGTCAGGGCCATGAGTCACTTTCTTATGAATAGATTAATGCTGTTCTTACTTGACTGGAATAGTTACCATGATAGCACTTCATTACAAAGGTTCCATTATGTTTTTCTCTTCTACATGTACGTGCTTTGCCCTTTTACTTTTCTAACAGGTTGGCCTTCCAGTCTCCAACTAAATAAACTTTGTTTTTTTTTTTTAAATTACCTAACTTATTCCCATACATATAACAGGAAACTAAACAACAAGGTTACAATTAATCAGAATATTTCCTGTGTCCTGTTCCTATTTCCAGTTACACTTATCAGAGGAAAAAAATATGTTTCCAGTAGTATAAAACTTTTAGTTTTGTATTATTTTCTACAACATAGCCATTCTATGTATGATTTGCTAATAAGTTTTATCTTTAAGTAGATTATATGCAACCAATTCAATTTAAAATATTTTTTCTATTACAGCAATATGGATTGAAAGACTGAGAAATCAAGTGTAAAGAGGCAGAACTCTAGAAAACAAGTTCTGAAAAGGGTTTGGGTAGATATAATGGCTTCAGGAACTGTCCTCTATAACATTTGATGAAATTCTTATAAAAAATCATTATTTTCAGGTTTGAATTCCAGCATTTCATGATTATTTATAACTAGTCTTTGAGTATCTATCTAACAAGAATTTGAGAACAGGAAAGAAACTACTCTTTCTCTCAAAAAATAAATTTGAAGGTCCTTGTCCTTTTCCTTTATGACCAACATCAAATAAGTGGTCCTTGAAAACATTTCATATAGCAATATGAATATTCAAATTGAAAATTCCTTGCATACATTGAAAGTGTCTATTAGGAGTTTAGTTCGATCCTCAGCACCACATACAAAGATGTTGTGTCCACCGAAAAAACTAAAAAATAAATATTAAAAAATTCTCTCTCTCTCTCTCTCTCTCTCTCTCTCTCTCTCTCTCTCTCTCTCTTTAAAAAATTACATTAAATAACTTATTTATGAAAATTTATATATATACACACATATATACATACACTTATTTAACATGGCTTTAGTACCACCTTCCTGATTTGGAGAATGTTTACTATATCTTTTCTTTCTGGAATGAAGGCACTTTTTATTTCTCTCTTTTACCTTTCATTGCATCCATGCCTCCCACAGCATAAAGAGACCCCACAGTTGATTTTCTAGGCTTTGTTCTAGGGCTTTGCATCATGGGTCTTCTCTCAGGTAAGAGATGATACTTCATAGCTTCCATGAGTAACTTCTGACACTCAAGATCACCAGCAAACATGGAACTATTTTCTAGATCTGCCAGTAACTGAAAAGTAATGATGCATGGCATATAAGTGAAGAGTCTACCATTACAAAGAAAATATTTAAGTTTATATAAATTTGAAGATAACTGAAGCTAATTCAAGTGTATATTTTTTTTGTTATTTTTTAGTTTAAGTTTCTTATTAGTAAGATATTTTTATTTTCACTTATCATGTAAATGACTAGAAGTTTCATAGTAGTATCAATGATCTATTGCAACTTTGTTCCGTTTGATTTGTACATATATCATATCATCTGAAGGAATATAAAAAGCACTTATAAAATTATTATTGTTACTATTATTGTTTAAATAATCCATATTATAGGTACAGAACACACTCAGAGATAAGAGTACAAAAGACTACTGGTTGTATGTTTGAGCTGGAAATTTCCCTTCATGCCAATAAAATAACTTCAAACTAAATTACTTTGCTAAAAAAGTCAAATAGACTTAAAGGAATGTAAAATTAAAGACTTCTGATATATTATATCCACCAATGCATCTAAAAATTCCATGTCTAAAATTCATCTGGTGAGATTTTAAAAATGTGAATTTCTCAACAGGACCCCCAAATATTGCTTAAATGGGCCTGAGAAATTGTTTCTAATAAGCACCTAGGTAATGCCATACTGCTAGGACAGGAACATATTTTTCTTCCATATTTTTATTAGTATAAAATAGTTGTAAATAATCCTAGGCTTCATTGTAACATATTGGTATATGCACATAAAATAAAAATATAATTTGGCCAGTATCATTCCCAGTATTTCTCCTTTCACTTCCCTCCTCCCTCCTCTGGGACAATAACATTTTAAATGGTGCTCTCTAAGAGAATCTAATAAATCACTTGAGAATAACACCAATTAGCATACATATATTCACATAAACATAAAATTTCTATAGTTTATGAAGTTAATCTATCGATTCTAGATTTAGAACTGTGGGTCTAAAATTACATATATATGTTAATGTTTCTTTTTAAGGTGTTACCATTGCCTTGCCCTTTGGATAAATTTGCTATAGTTAGAAGGGTGATCAATGTTATTGTATTGCACATGTATGGAGTCTTAAAAGCAAGTATGTAGTTTCATGGGATTTAATTAACAGCTAAAAGTAATATATGGAGAAACTATCAGTGGATTAACAATCTTTTTTCAATATTAATATTCAGTTAACAATTTTGTTGAAAAATGGACTAATTTTAATATTATTTTTAATATTTATAAAACTATCACAAGCTATCTAAAGTCTAGGCAAGACTCCTCTTTCTGATGTGGATGCTGTTTGAGGACTTTAACAGAACCAATAAATATGAAATACATATGGGTAATATACTTTTATATTTAGTATAAATAACATCCATTTTGATCAATTTTTAAAGAAAAAAATTGTGCTTACCATCAGTGATGGAATTATGCAGTGGCACTGCACTGCAGTCTCACTAAAATGCAAATATTAAGATTCAGTAAGAGATAAGTCAACCTTGGGCCTAAATCAATGTTGTTTGCTTAGAAGCATCCTTGCTATATTCCTTCAATTTGGCAAGCATGATAAGGATGCCATTATAATGATGCTCTAGTGCATCTGAAAATATGCTTTCAATCATAGTAGATAATTACTCATGGTGGTAGATATTATCCAGAATCAGATTCTTTTCTAGACATTCTTGTGGGAGGCTCTTATACTTATTATAAACACCTTGCCTAGAAGGTGAGCAGTAAAAGAAAAAGTGTCAGACTAGTTATTTTCTCTGCTTGGTACAAGTGCTATTTAGCAAGAGAGGAAACTGAAACTAATTAATATAATGATGTGTAGGGATTATCTGTATTTTTATCCATGTTTCCTCTCTTTCCATATTAATATTTCTAATTAAAGGTTGAATATGAATTTCTGTGAAATAAATACTGAGTGCACTAAATTGAATATTCCCTGAATAAATAGGCAATTAAAGAATGGATTGGTGGCCTTGGGTTGTGGCTCAATGGTAGAGTGCTCACCTAGCATGGGTGAGGCACTGGGTTCAATCCTCAGCACCAAATAAAAATAAATAAATAAAAATAAAGGCATTGTGTTCACCTAAAACTAAAAAAAAAATAAAAAATAAAAAAAGAATGGATTGGTGCCTAGAGGTAGTTTAGAACTCTAATATACATTACCTGGGGAAATTTCCATACCTGTGCTGGAAGTAATGGCAGTCGGATGTAAGAAAGCAGCGTTGCCAGGTCTTGTTGCCTAGTCTGAACATCATGACCTACCCACTGCATTAGAGCATGGAAAATGGTTTCTTCATCAGGCACATTAATATCATCACTGCACAGAAGTTTTGAAATTTCATTAGCTGGAAGCAGAAGGAATTCTTGGTTTTTTATTACCTCAATGAAGTGTTCCTAGAAAAGAAAGGTCATCTACTGAAATTTTGTATTTTAGAATTTTCTTAAGGAAACAAGCATATCAAAGGATTTCACTTTTTTAATCTTTAAAAATGTCATATAGATATATATCAATTTATAGCAATAGGTGCTATTGCTATCTGACAGGAGTATTGGAGCCTTCTGAAGCTTAGGGTCCAAGTACTTCCACTAGGAATTATTTAATGAACACAAGGAAAGTCTTTAACTTCACAGGCCACATGGAAAGAATGAAGAATGTCAGAGCTGAGAATATTGCTTTTTCTTCCAGCTGTTTACATGACAAAAAGAGTTTTTGACTCCAGAACTGACTTCCTAGTTGATCTTTAGTAAAAAGCCCCAAAGAGAAAGGCTGAAAAGTTTTGAGGTGGAAGCAATCCTGAAGGTCTGGGAGAGTTAACTCTAGCTATGTATTTGAGGCAGCAACTGATTGTACTTTTTTGAGATGATAAAAGGAGATAAATGAAAAAGTATTTCCTCTTATGGAAGAGAATGATCTACTATTGACCAAGGGAAATGTATCCTTCTCTAATGCATCACAGTCAACAGATTTGACAGTCTGAAAGGTGTTAGGAAATGTTCCTTGAGACAAGAGTAGGGCTATATTTCCATTTCTGTTATATCTCCAATGTCCTTTCTATAAATGTTTTCTCATGTATTTTGGCAAGTATCAAATTTTAAACAGCTGTGTTTCCATTTTTTAATCAAAATACCACCATATTTTCTAGTTTATAAATATTACATATTTTTGAAATATTTTAATCTACATTTTTCACAATGAAGATACGAAGTTTTGAATGCTATAAAATATGCTTCTGAAATATACATAAACATGTGCACCTGGTAATTTATGTTACACAGCAAACAGATATTCTGAGAGTAGAGTAAGACTCTGAATAATTGGGGACTCTGGATGAATCAAATCAAACCCTCACCTCTACTCGTACATTAGTCATTATAGAACTGAGTTAGCCTAATAACAAAATTATCCATACAGCATTCTCAAGGTTGATAGACCCCTAAGGAAGCTCTGATATCATAAAGTTTCAAACTAACTCATCTATTAAAAAGAAACATTGAAAATCATCTCACTCATAGAAAATGATGACAATAGTGTTACTAATATATCTCATTCATACAGCATTTCACACTTTAATAAAATATTTCACAAGCATTAAACCATCCAAAATATGTTCTTACGAGGAAGTGAAATTACTCTGATGAGAAAGCCAGCAATACATATTATTTGATCTATTAAGCTGCAAAATCTGGACTTAGATGTAACCCTCTAACATAACATCTATTGCATTTTTTAAATGCTAAAACTTTTTGGTAAGAGATAAAATATTTTTATTAAAGAGTTAATAAAACATAAAACACTGTAAAATTTAGGGTTACCAATAGCCAGCATTTACATAAGCTCTGAAACTATGGTAAATAATGGAAAACACTGTTTCATTCTCCTTTGTGTCTATTTTACAATGACACAAAAGGAACAAAGAAAGGAAAGAGATGCCTACTCAATGGAAAAGGTGGATTACAGTCTATTAAATTTGATTATACATTTGAGGGAGCAAAGAAAATAGTAGAAATGGTTTACTTAGTGTTCATACTACATACAATCAGAAATTTGATTTTCTGATAGAATTTTGTATGACTTCGAGTTGCTGTCTTATAAGACTATTGAAAATTGCTGGGCAATCTAGATAAGTCTAAATAACAAATATATGTATTATTTTAAATTATCAACATATGACCCTGAAGTATTCAATATTGTAGACAAAATGTATTATTTTAAATTATCAACATATGACCCTGAAATATTCAGTACATGTAGACAAATAATTAGTAATGCATAAATCTGATTTTTAAAACATATTTTTTAGTGTTGATGAACCTTTATTTTTTTCATTTATTTATATGTGGTGCTGAGAATTGAACCCAGTGACTCACACATGTGAGGCAAGCACTCTACTACTGAGCCACAACCCCAGCCCTAAAGTCTGATTTTAAATTTTTGATTTTGAAATTATTTTGCTCCTTGTTTAAGGTAAACACATTTTTCTTCTATGTACTTTCCCAAGAATCTTCTTTTGTGTCTTGTATTCACTATGAAACTCTTTTCCAGATCTACATTCAAATTGCTATAAAATTTAACAAAAGAATATAGCATGCTTGCTGAATGATTCATTGGTACAGACAACTATTTACATGATTGAAATGGTTAATTTTGTGTGAACTTGTTTAGGTCACAGAGTGCCCAGACATTTGACCAAATATTTTTCTGGGTGTCACCCTAAGGGTATTTCTGGATGAAGCCCATCCACATTATAGAGGACAATCTGCTTATTCAATCTAGCAGTTCACCTGATTGTAATTGTATCTCTAAATTGTTTAACATTATCCTTAGATATCAAAATTATTTGGGCTGGGGCTGGGGCTCAGTAGCAGCGCACCTGCCTGTCATGTGTGAGGCACTTATTTTGATCCTCAGCACCGCATATAAATAAATAAAAAATAAAGGTACATCAACTAAAAATGAATATTAAAAAAATTTTGCATTATTATATGGTCTAAAATTATTTGCAGTATTACAAAAGCACTATTATAGCAAGCCCTTTACCTATTTTATTGTACTCACAATAGATACTAACATAATACTAAAGGAGGATTAAGGGAGACAACACCATTGTATTTTTATACACATCCTGCTTTAACACTCAGTTTGGGACACATAATAGGAAAAGGAAGACAAGTTCATTTTGTGTAACAAAAATAATTCATGCTGTTTATCAGAACTTATTTTGTCTGCAAGAGTAAGATACCAGGCAGGAAACTGTTAATACTTAGTTCAAGAATTTAAGTAATTTAACAGGAAGTTTTCATGTTTGGCTTTTGTGGGTAAGATTAACCTTTGAACTACATAACTGCTGTTCCTTTAGATTCTGTGGCATGTGTATTTAGGACACATGAATACAAATAGCATAATTAAATGACACATTTTAAAATGCAAATCCATTATAATGTGATTACCACACAATGACACTGCTAAAGAATATATTTGCAATTTCAAATGTTTAGGAATGATATGGAGTGGGAAGAAGGAAGAAGAAAAATTTACAAGAAATTTTTAGAGAATGCAAATTTTAGAAATTTGAAAATTTTATGATCAGGTAAAACTGTAGAAAATATATATATGGTCGTTACACTAAAATAATGTTACATTTACTAATCAATTTTACATGTCATTCTCTTTTTTCACTTGTAAGCACATACCTTTCATTTTTTTAAAACTTAAATAACTGAAACATTTCTTGTATAAAATATTCTTTATTAGGTTTCATAGATAAATCCATCTCTTATGTCGGTCAGTACTCTCAGAGGTTAAAAAAGTTCATTTTCTTCTTTGCATCAGGATAGTATTAACGTTAATGCTAAGGCTTATTTTATATTCTCTGTCCAGTTTTCCTTGCCTCTTTACAACTCATATTTCATGTGATTGTCACCTGACTAAATAAAGATCATTTCATTCTATGGAAATTTTAAATAATTACCACAAACTGATAGGGCTGGGGACAGAGCTCAGTGATAGAGCACTTCTTTAGCATTCTGACACTTTCATTTAATTCAATATAATTAATAGTAGAATTGTAGAGGGTTTTGGTTTGCTTTTCTGTGGTGCTGAGTATAAACCCAGTGCCTAGCACATTTTAAGTAAGAGCTCCAAAAAATTGTCTGAGTTATTAATTTTGGTAATTCTTAAGCTCTTTCAATTAATCTATTAATATTAGCATTTTCTTATTGAGTGATATTTATCTTTCATTATAAATCATAACATGTCAATTTTAGAAATTAAATAATTATGCAAAGCATCAGCAAATTAATATTTTTTCTTAATAATATAGATCTGATTTGCAATATATACGTGCACAAATCAATTTTGGCATTATTTTCATTTCTCCAAGTTTTGAGATTTAATAAAACTTTTTGGTTCCAAAGATTAACAAAATTTAATTGAGTATTGCTCAACTAGACAAATATTTTTATCTATTATGTGTAAGTCACCTGTAAATTATGTTTATATATTGCTTTTAATTTTATTCCAATATTTACATAGTACTTGTACAAGTTATTTTGAAACAATTGACTTTACCATGGTGTACTTATGTGCCACGTTGAGGAGCTCTGTACAGCCCTGGGCATCTCCAAATGATCGAATTCCTAAGCAATTTGAAGGATGGAGCTGCTTTATGAGGAAACTGGAGCAGACTTCAACGACCTGCGTCAGTTGCAGGAGACAAGCTGCAGCCAGCAGACTTTCAATGGTATCTTCTTTTAATAGAAGGACACCTAAATTATTTGAAAAAGTAAACAATGATTATGTTTCCTATAAAGAATGGAAAAAATGTGCTAGTTAGTTGAATTTTCCATTTCCCTCCAAATTAAGGCTATGGTTTTTTTTCCTATACTATTGTTATACTCTAGGAATATGTTTTGAGCCTGATATACATAAGGGAGACTTGAGTGTAAACACTAATAGGACTGAAGGGAGCCAAAGTAGAATATCAAAAGGACTATGGTAAATGAACAGTGAATATTAACATTACAGAAACTACAAATTGTTTTTCTTAAGTCTGAATTTAAAACTTATCTCAGTCATTTATTATTAATGTATTCATAAGAACATCACCCTAAATATATTATTTTTAATGGTCAATCATACCTAAATAAAGCTGGAAAAATTGTCTACATTATGAGTCAAGGCACATTATGTCAGTTTGTACAGAGATCATACCACTGACCATACACATTAACCGTCATTTGTGAGAAGCTAAAGATCTTGGTAAATGAGAAGAGCCCTTTATATCCAAATTTTTGTATATGCATCTAGTATTTGGTGAAGATATCTTTGCCCAAATATTATTCATAGACTCGAGTCCTACAAATGACTCAAAAGGAAGAGAATGTTGCACAGGGTCTACATATAAATAACTGCTTATATAAGTATTTGCTTTTATAAAAAATAGACTTTGTTTAAAAATATCTGTAATGATTTTTAAAAATGGGATCAGAAGTAATTTATATTATTTCCTTTATCATGATATATCTAAAATTTTTAGAGCAAGCATTATTGATAATTTATTGCCAACATTGTTATTTTTAAGATATACCCCCACTTTTAATGTTTTAGCCAAAGTGACTATTTCTTTAAGTTTTCTTTCTAAAAATAACTTAATATGTATCCAATATGACTGCACAACCATAAGTATTTTGTGACAAATTCTATATTTAATTCAGTCTGTGAAATACATTGTAAAGTAGTCTGGTCCATTTGTACATTTTCTTGTGTTATTTCTTTTCTTGAAGTTTGAAAAGAAAAGCCAGACAATATCTCATGAGATGCAAAAAGTATTAACTATATCTGCAAATGGTCACTCCCAATTTTACCTATACTCTGGCAAACACTATGCATTTTCTCTATGACTTTCCCTATTTTGGATACCTAAAACAGATGGAATAATACAATAAGTGGTCTTTTGTGTGGTATGATGTTTTCAAAGTTACATTCTTGTTGTACCATCTATCAGAACATCATTCCTTTTGTATTGCCTATTAATATACATGTTATGCACTTACAAAGTTTGGTGTATCAATTCAGATTTTATAAACAGCTTGGTTGTTTCTACTTTTTCATTATTATGAATAATGCTGTTATAAACATTTGTGTGCACATTTTGGGGTGCATATATTTTCATTTCTCTTGGACATATATTTAAAAGTGGAATCTCTGAGTTGTAAGTACAATATGTTTAATTTTTGAGAAATTTCCCTACACACATACTTTCAAGTGAATGGTTACTGGTACTAAATTGATAAAGTGTGGAGATATCACCAGATACATTTAAAATGCAAGTGTAATAGTTACTTTTGAAAGATATCAATATTTACAACATATTATGAGTTTTGCACCTTACAACTATTTAAAATTACAAAAACTTTTAGTCATTAATGAAAAATTTAAGGGGATTTTTTTTGTTTTTCAAATTTATTTTAGGCACAATGTAAACAAAATTGTTTGAAAACAATTCTCCTGGAGAAAGCCAAGATGCACACTTATAGCCTTTAGAAGAGTCTATGAATATATAATTACATAAAGGTATTTAAATAGTAGGAGATCCTAAAGATGAAAAAAATCATTATGGAGAAAAGATCAAAATACTTTGTTGGCCCACAGAGTCATGTTTTAGAATTTGAGTAAATATGAATTTATAATCCCAAAGGAAGAGACTAATTCTCTATTATAAAATTAGAACATAATTTTATAGTACAGAATTAGTCAGAATTTACTTCCACTTTTCTTTTGAAAACAAGAATTTGTTAACTTTACTATCATGGTAAAATACTGCATTTTATTTACCTTTCGTTGTTTTCTGTTATGATTCAATACTCATAGGCTCCCTTCTTACTACCTTAGAAAGGTTACTTAACTCATCTATCCTCAGTAGATTGAAAATAATAATAATACAGTTTATATAATGCACAATTATAATGAGTTAATTCATGTCAGAACTTACCTGTATAAGCGTATTGCACCAAGGAGTTAAGTGCGTTTGGATCTACTCCTTCCATTCTGACCTCTTCTTGTTTGGCTTCAAGCACATCATTAGTGAACATGGCAGCAAAATAATCAGACACTGCACTGAGAACCAACCTATAAATAGTAATGTTTCATAAGAACTGAAATCAAATTGATAATCTCACCAAAAAGATGAAATTCACTCAATAAGTTTGTAAATCTGGTCAGTTTGGAATTTGCATAGATCTTTCATAATTCCATAAAATGTAATGAAGTTAAAAAGGCCAGATAAGTAAACTGGTCTTCTTTCAGAGAGTTTGTGTTGTTTCCTTCAACAATCTCTCTGAACTTTGGTTCTTCTAAACATTGCATGAAGAATTAGATCATATAATGTTTTTTTTCAATGTGGGAAAATAAATCTATTTGTCCAGTGTTCCAATTTATGAGCAATTTGCTTATTCTCCCTCATTCATATTGGCCCTACTGTCCATATGTTCTGTCTGCATAAGTATACTTACCGATGTGCTGGAATTCTGAGGTGTCCAGCAATGAGTAGTACATCACACAGTTGTTTCTCTTTCAAGTAGTTCTCCATTTTACAGAGAGTTTGCTCTGCATGGTTTTTAGCGTGGTATTGCTCCTCAGACCTGGTGGTATTCATTTCTTCAGTATACTGTGAATACAGTCTGAAAGGTGAGAAAGAATGAAAATATAGTTTATCATAACATTTTATAAGAATTGCATTTTTTTTTCTCCTAGAGAGATGCACATATCTAGTGTGGTAAGGGCTCTCTCAGAACAAAGAGAAAGCAACTTGACAAACTCAGTAGCTATGTGCATATATTCCAAAAACAAAGAGAAAGCAACATGGTATATTCAGTGTGCATGTGCAACTCTGCTCTAACTCTGTGGTAACACTGCCACAACTCTGTTGCAACTCTGTTATGGGTGACACTGTCCAATTCTGTTCTAATTCTATAGTATAGAATACTTAATCAGAATGTATATTGCCATATAGGGAAGAAAAAGCAGCTAACATGTAAAGGGGATATGTAAGGCAATCCCTGGCTGTGCATAGGGTTCAGCCTCTGGATATGAATCCACTGTGCCAGTGCTGGGACTAAAAAACCAGTTTCCTATCTCTCTGTGAGAGAACCCTGCAACACTAGTAGAAATTTAGGCACGAAATCTTCAGAAAACAATATTTTGGATTAAAGTAAAATTAAAATTAGCTCTATAATCTTAAATATGTTCATATGATTACTGTCTCACTCTCCATTAAAGTGAAGAGTCATGGTTAGTATTTATATTTGGAATGTAATCATAATCATGAATGCTTTACCCTAGTAAAAACTATTATATGCACAAATATAATCATAAAAATACCACTGTTCTTTGAATCTAAATGTGTATCAAATTTATGTCACAGGACACATAACCTTTAGACATTCTTCAAAATAATTAAAATTTTTTTTCATTCCACTTTTGTCTATGAGCTACACATTAACCATCAGAAATATTTCTTGAAGATTTTTTAGCCCTGAGAGTCCTTGTAACTTTCTTTACAATATCTCAATCTTATGAGAAAATTTGATGTATTTCCACTATTTATTGGGGGCTTAATATTTAGGAAAATGTGATCACTGTGGTATTTATAATAATGAAAGCTGTACTAGTGTATTTTGAATTTCACACAGTGGAGTAATCTAAATGCCTATAGAAACACACACAGTCTTATAATTGGTAGAGTTTTACAAATTTGATTGTTGAATGAACAGAATTAAATATATTGCTCATTACCTTTCTTGTTTCCAGGCATCATATTCCAACCAACAATTAGGATTAGCTTTAAATTTCCCAACTCTAACACAGCCTATGTTGTTTTACAGAAAACTGGTCCACGGTGATATTACTCTCTCTATATATAACTCAAATAAATGATTCCTCTCTGAATCTTCTTGACTTTAAAGAATTTTTAAGTTACAATAATGTATTAACAACCAGGGTACCATGTGTTAAATTAAGATTGGATTAAACCAATCTCCATACTTTGATGATAAATTTTGTCCGAACAGTGGCCTCCATTCATTGAGAACTGAACCATAGCTTGCTATGCAAATAAATAGTAACCTTGTAATCAAGTGACTGAGACCTATCCAAATATAGCAGGATGGACCTTCAGGCAATCTCAGGAAAAAGGCTGGCAAATTATGATCAAATGAGGTGAATGGGCTGAACTACACCAATCAGATAACTTCTCTGTGCTCTTTCCTGGTTTTCTGCCTATAAATATAGCTTACCACATTGGAGGTAAGACATTCTAAATCATCTTCATATAGAATTTAATCTGTTCTACAACCTTTTTTCTCAAATAAACATTTCTAAATTTAACTATTTTTTCTTTAACATATGATATGGATAGCCTAATAATTTCCTATATTTTCCCGATAGAGGCAATCTTCTTTACTAATTCTAGAAAGGAAAAATCCCTTGGAACCACTGAAAGGAAAACATTCAGGTTATATTTAATTCACACTATTTTAATATTTCCTCTGCAATTGTAATTGTTAAATTCACATTAATTTTGTCAATCAAGCATTCAGTGTTTTAGTATCTTAGTTGCCATCATGTATACAGCAATTATGTGAAACTTTCTAAAGAAGAGGTATGTTTGGCAAGTTTTGGTAAGGGAACAATTTTATTTTCTTATTTTTTTAAATCAGCCTAACTTGGACAAGGATTAAAACTAGTTTAGGATGCTCTTATTTGGACACAATGAAATTATTCTATATCTGAAATGTATTTCATAATCAAAATGCAGGTTTTTAAGAATCTAAAAATCCAATAAATATGAACCACACATAAGTTCCTTATGCTTCAAAATACAGACACAACTCTTCTGTCAAATCAAGAAATAAGAAATCAAGGCTGAAAATGTAGCTCAGTGGTAGAGTGCTTGCTTAGCATTTGTGAAAAACTGGGTTCAATCCTCAGCAACTACATAAAAAATAAATAAAGGAAATAAAGGTACTGTGTCCATCTATAATTAAAAATATTTAAAAAATAAGAAATCAGTGCTCAGAGATATGAGTAAATCAAAATACTAGCATTCAAAATACAGCAAATATATTAAAGATACAAAATAAAGCAAAAAATTATAATCTACTCTCGGTTATTATCTAAGGAGAATGTAATGATCACCACCAGGAAAGCTAGTACATTGATACTTACCTACCTAATTTTAGTAATTACCTAGAGCTCATAAAGTATAGTTCTTTTGTCTCCAGTTTAGATACCATAATGTCAAGTCAGAGGTTATAATGGAAACCACTGCATTAGAGAATATTTGTCTTATTGTGTAGTAACTACAGGATATAACATGGGAGGCAGATGATGGAATGAAAAGATCCTATGATCTGAAGGCGGAATACTTAAATTTAAAAGTCCAGTATTTGCTATATACTTGATGAGTGATCTTAGCCAAGTCACATTATCTTTGTTAATTATTAACTTTATCCTACAAAATGGGGATGAAAATAATATTAAGACTACCAGCAATTATGTTTATGGTACAAGACTCTTCTAAGAACCAAATGAAATAATGGAAATGAAAGATTTATGTACAAAGTTAAGTCTTAAGTTAACTGACAAGATTTACTTACATAAACATGTAATGTTTTAAAAGTTCTTACATTGAATTTTTATAAGTTAATATACATTTTTCTCTGGAACAGTAATAAAATTACATAATATAAACATATTTATGTACATATATATAAATGTATGATGTCAGGTCTTATAGTTACAGTAGCAAAAAAGCTTACTAGGACAGAAATTGGTACCAAGAAGTGGGGTCATTGCTGTGACTAACCTAACCATGTGATTCAAAAGCTTTTTGATCTTTTTGGAATTTGTGGGAGGAATTTTGGAAAATTTAGAAATACAAGCTACAAAAGCTTTAGAATGTCATAGGTTGACCTGAGTGGATGATTCTCATGAGAGTTCATAATAGCAGAATGCTGATATGACTCTAGGTCATAAAAAGTGGGCTCATGGGGTTTCAACAGAGAAGGAAGACTCTATTGCAATTGAAATTGGAATAAACACTACTCATATTATGGTTTGGCAAAATTGTCTACATTTTGCTCATGTCCTGAGACTTTCTGTAAGCCTGAATTTAAACTTGACAGACTTCTTAAACTTGTAGAAGAAATTTCAAGACAGCAGAGCCTTCAGGGATGGCATGAGTATTGCTGGCAGTTTGTAGCCAAGATTATTGTGATAATCAGAAGCAGAAAGCAAAGCAAATAGACTTGAAAAACTTTTTTTTTTTTAAAGAGAGAGGGGAGAGAGAGAGAGAGAGAGAGAGAGAAATTTTAATATTTATTTCTTAGTTCTCGGCGGACACAACATCTTTGTTGGTATGTGGTGCTGGGGATTGAACCCGGGCCGCACGCATGCCAGGCGAGCGCG